CAATTGGGTGAAATAGGATCCGGGTTCCAATTGGCTGAAATAGAACCTGGGAGCTTGCCCTTTCATTTCCCCCCTTTCTCTGGATCCTAAGAAGGGACCCAATCATGGGTCTAATAAGGTTTTGCAGTTGTAAGGAGATAAAGGCTGATACTGTTGTCTTAGCACATTTAGCTGAACTGTATTAATTCTATCTTTAATAACAGTTATCAGTTTATTGAGGATACATGGTCTAAAGGTAACAAGATTACTAGGGGCTTGTATTGAACACGGAGGACTATCAGTTGGACGGCCCCCACGTGGTCTCTGAGAATCTGGACCAGCCTGTTGATGATACAGGGCCCAAGGGTTAGTAAAAGGAGTAGGATGGCAAGGGGTCCTTGAATATTAAAGATAATTTCCTGCCTTGATTTCTCTCTGGGACACTGGCGCCTTGGTTCAGGCGCGACACTGGCGCCTTGGTTCAGGCGCACATCAAAAGACTGCGTGCCTAGCTTCTAAGGTGGGCTGAGATATTGTCTATTTGCTAAAGAAACCTGCCTTTTACTATGCATCTACATCTGGGTCTGCATGCGAAGTCAGTTGCTCAGCTTGCAAAATTACCTAGTCAGATCTGGAGGAGGGAAGACAGCACATAGGCCTTTCAGTATGCTAAAGTGAATCTTATACACAATTACAAATGATTAGCATAATAAAATATGTGCTACTCTTCTTTACCTGGGAAACATTAACTGATCTCACTGAAGAATGATTCTAGAGCTTAATGTTCAACATAGTTTTAGTAGAGGGGGGGAGGGGTTCCAGCATGTAGTTACGTTGCTCTGATTGCAAATATCCTGCCTTGCTTTCTCCAGAGGCTCTCACCTTATTCTGTCTAACACTGGTCCCTGTCTCATTCTCCCCTCTACAGATGGAGACCCTAGCTGCTGCTAGGGAAAAGGGGCGATGACCGCTCTGGCTGCTTCGTGCTGAGAGGCGGTGAAGTAAAGGGTGCAGCTATGTCTCCATCACTGGTCAGTTGAGATGGCCTCAGAAGGTTGGCACTTCTATTCTGGGTTTCATTTCTATTACTATTTGCAGTTTTACGGATTCTAGGCAAGATAAAACAAATTGTGTTATTAGGTTAAGTAGCAACATCTGGAGTTGGATTTTCTATTCTAGAAGGACAAACTTGACGAGATTAAGAATGCATGGCTGAATATAAGAACTAGAAATATGAAGACTCTAACTGAGAATCATAGTCAGGTATTATGGGGAAACTAGAATTCTGGATATTAGGATTTAGTATAGATAAGACAGCATTATTGAAACAACACTTTTCTCTAAAATCACCCTTATTTTTATTAGAATTAGCCGGATTAAGAAAACAATTAAGAGTTGGCTTGGTTATTTGCCTAACTGCAGCAAGAAGAGCAATTGATAACATGGGATCTTTTAAACGTGCCTTGCTGGAACTTTTTGTAAGGAATTTCAGATTGAACTTTTAAAGGCTTCTTGAGGCCAGACAGCCAAGCCAGACTTGCCATCAGGTTTTGCCTGCAGTACCTGTAGATTTGGGTGAATTCCTCCCTTCTTGAGGTTCCTGTGCCTGCCAGGAAGTGACCTTCCTTACTCACCTGGTAAGGCTGCTGGGAACTCTGTAAGCAAGGTACCAGGCCAGTTCTTCCAAGGGGCTTTGTTGGCTTTATAAAGTCAACCTTAGTTCCTTAAAGCTGTTCATATCTGAGTTTATGCACGTGTCTCTCAGGTATGACATTCCAGTCAAAGCCTTGGTAGTATAACATATGTTTTTAATTGGTCCTCTTACAAGGAAAGCAGGTTCTTATTGAACTTATGCAAATAAACATACTGCCATGAAACATAAAAATACTGAAAGCTTTTAAATTCTTGAGGGGTCAGGTAGAGAGAAAGATAAATGTTTCAATTCTGCTTCTAAAGGTATTGTCATTCATGAAACTGTTGTCAGCTTAAGAAAAAAAGCTTGAAACACTTTATCAGCAACATCTGAAACAAAAAGTCACAAAACCATCTTCCTTATTTCACTTAATCCTATGTAGCCAATACCTGTTCTGCTGAAATCTAGTTCTTTACTAGTGTAGGAGTAATGAAACAGTGACTATACATGGCAAAAGACTTACAAATGACAATGGTTAAAGATCTGATGAGAGCTTACTGCAAGACAGTAGACATAAGGAAATTCGGATATTTCTGTAACAAAGAAACATTCAGTAACAAAGTTTAGCATCATTCCCTTTGACAGTGCTTTCCACGTAATTAAGCAGGTAAGTATATATCAGATAAATAAGACAAATTAGTCAAATACTTTCTCCAATGAGAAAAAAAAATTCCTCTGACATGTTCCAGGGGCCCTCTGGAAAATATCAGAGTTAACTAGAGGTAAAAGTACCTTTTTGAATTTGATTTTGGGAAGTTGTCAGAAGAAAGTTTATTTGGCACTTGCTTAAATAGTATTATAGGTTGCTATGAAGCAATACTTATCTATTTAACCAGAATGACAAAATACCTCAAAGGCAAATGAAGAAGTTTACACAGTTGTTAGCAAACTTTACCTTTTAGTCTTTTTAATATTAAGATGTCATTTTCTTAAATACTGAGACAACTCATTGAGACTTTAAGCATGAGAAACTTCTTTGATAAAACAATTAGAAAGCCTTTTGCAATCTTTCATCATTAAGGGCAGACTAACAGTTTAAGAAAACTCTTTTTAACTGAAAACAAAATTCTAATTTTGCTGTGTACTTGATACTGAGACTCATTTGCTTTAATTTTATATAGCATGACCATATTAAATTCTTCCAAAACTTTCTACAACCTTCTTCTTCTTATATTTAGAGTTCTCCCTCTAAATAAACAGCTGTACTTTAGAACAAAGTTACTTTCTATTATCAAAAGACACATTCTTTAGCATGCAGAAATGTTTTCTGTATTATTTTAAGTAGTTTTAATTAGAACTTAAAACCATTAGGTACCTTACTTTCTAGTGAACACTGAGAGGCAGACTATTGTAAACTGTTACACTAGCATTCTTTAGATTGACAAATTTATGAACATTTTATAATTTCTGTAACTATGAGCTTTGTAGCACAATCTCTCACTAAACATAAAGTATATCAACTTAGCAAAACTTTAAGATTTTAGGTTACTACAAAGATTCTCAGGCTGCAGGTAGGTATACACACATAACACACAATTTAAGAGGTGTTCACTTGCCACACTCATTTAGTTCACTCATTCGTAACAACTATGCTAGATTACTTACAAGACCTTTACTGAATATTAGACAAAGCCACGCCTTTAAGCATTTTATTCTTAAAAGATTTAGCAGATAACATCGACTTAAATGACCTTAGGTAAACTTAGGCAGCTGATAACTACAATGACATGCCCGCCTCAGGCAAACCAAAATTAGCATTAATGCTTAACATTTTTTTATCAAATTTTCTGGAAGTTTTAGAATGCCCAATTTTCACAAGCGCTTGTCTTTAAATCAATTTCATTAATACCATCCAGAGTTAGAAAGATATTTTCATTTACACACTTAGACACACAAACATACAGACTGAGACATAATGATAAGGTTCCCTCTGGTAGCCATCCGACATTGAAAACTGGCTACTCACTAGAACAAAAAGTCTGCCACCGACCCTTCTGGACTTCCACACTGAGGTTGTTAGCTCTTCCCCTGGTATCTTTAACCTGTAAGAGAGTGGTTGGATTATATGTTCCCTCCGGCAGCCAGCCAACGTTAAAGGACGGCCTCTCGGAGGTGCAGAAAACATGAAATTTTCCCTTCCTGATGTCCGTGCTCAAATTGTGAGCTCTCTCCCTAATGTCTGAGAAAAATGGTCTGTCATGAGAGACAAGGGGGTCGTCTGCATCTGTCCCATTTCTTCTGTCAACAAGACTAAGACAAACACGACAAACAACAAATAGGCACCTACAGAAAAGAATCTGCCGCAGCTGCGGAGGCAAAACTGAAAGCTGAGGGCCTGTTGTACTGCAGCGGCAGCCGACTTTACTCACAGATGAGGACCTCGTCCTCCAGACGGGAGCAAGGGACGTCTCCCAAGACCCCTGGTCGGTGACCCACCAGCGCGTCCGCCTAAGTCAATGCCAACCCAGATACAGATTGGAGCTCCTGCAGGCTTATACAGGCTTGTTCACGAACAAAAACAGTGAGACACAGATAAAGACAGAGTGAGACACAGGTAGACAAGGACAGACAGATAACTGAGTACATTCACCAGGCAGCACAGGGCCCTCCGGGTCAGGAGTCCTGGGGGTCTCTGGGATCCCGGATGAGCCCCCAAATGTTGTGCCCAAAGTCATGAATCCCAGAAGACCACCAAGGAGCCAACACCGATGCAAAAGCAAAAAGCCTTTATTCAAGCTAGCTCGAGCTCAATCTCTCATCTACACCAATGCAGTGGCAAGATGCCAGAGAAAGAAAGCAAGTTTCAATACAACAAAGGTTTTATGGGGTTCTAGGGCAGTTGGTGGGGTGATGGTCATGGCTCTGGCTGATTGGCTGGATCTAGGGGCAGTTGGTGGGGTGATAGGTTGTGGCTCTGGTCAACTGGCAGGGTCTAAGGGTGGTGGGTGAGCGCTTTGCTGACTGGAGAGGAGAGACGAAGCTCTGATTGGGTGAAATAGGATCCAGGTCCCAATTGGCTTAAATAGAATCTGGGAGCTTGCCCTTTCAGCATGTGGAGGCATTCTTGTTCCCCAAGCATAGAAGCTCTGACAAAGAAGCGGGACCCAACCAAGCAGAGCTGAGAGAGCAAAAAGCTCTTCCAGGGGTTTTTGTAAGGGCTTCATTGCCTGGTCCTGAGTGACTAAATTATTGGCCATTAGTTGATTAAACATCCACCCCCTGCCCTTGGGTGGGGGGTGTCCAAAAGCCTCTCTTTAACATGACAAAAGACCAGTTTCACCATTAAGACTGCAGTGTTTTAAGGAACTGTAGATGAAGACCAATTATACCTTGGAAACATATTTATTTGGTCATATGAGTGACCAAGTATGTATTTCTTGCGATTCATTATATCACACAGGGTAAAACACTTCCATTTCTGCTATGACTGATTAGCTTTTGTTGGACCAATCGGTTAACAGCAATAAGCCTTAAGAAAATTCACAAAGCAATTGGTTAAAGGCCCTGGGGTGGAGCCTATTTACACAGGACTTGTTGACATAGTCTGTCACAGAGGGGAAGCCCAATTATATGATTATTACCTCCACACTGCATTTTTTTTCTGAAGCCTTTGAAAATTAACTCCATGGGAGGTTAGTCACAGAAGAAATAAATAGCCTTCTGGACTGAGAAGTAAGCTGGAAATTTGTCCAGGCAAAGCATTGGTGTTTCTGCTTCCAGGTGTTAGTAGAGACAAGACAGAAACAGAAAATAGAAGATTCATCAAAAAAATTTTTTTGTTTTTTTTTTTTAATTAAAAGAATTGTGGAACTAGAGACTGTAAGAACTAACATTACAAAAAAGGATGAGTCCTCATCAGGAAAGTTGAGATCTTATTTCCACATCTGGGGAAACAGTGAAAACCACTTAAAAAAGATACAACAGGGAATAAAAACAAGCAGATGGATATCAGGATACATGGTCTGGTATGGGCTGATTGAAATGTAGAATCTCCAATACTAGGCTGCTTTTCCCTATATGTTATTAGTTGAGGACAAGGCAACAATGTCAGTGTACTATATTCTGTTTGTGGTACTTTGAAAGATGCCTGCAATAAATTTATACTGACCTGAAAGGCATGAAAGTCAGAGTAACTGACATCACAGCTGCAACCCAGGCTGTTCCTGAATGGAGAAAGTGCTATGTCTACACTCCATCTGCCTGAGAGAACAGTCAACCTCTCTGGGTAAAAAAAACATCAACCTCCGACTCTACCGTATTTATAGACAATGTCTGACATAAAAAGAGAGTTATCTTGTCAAAGCACTAAAGTTGATAGGAAAATAAAGACATGAACATACACATATCTTTATATTGGAGTTGGAAAGAACTTTGTAACAATAATTATTATATATCATACACAAAGTTATAAGAAACATGAAGAAAATGGGAACTTCAATAGTGCTGGGTTGGGGAAGTATGGTCTGTACATGACATTAGTGGATGAGTTTAACATTTTAAGCAGAGAAAACAAAATGAGTTTGAAATTACAGCAACAATACAAATTTTTCGAACAAAAGCACAGGAATAAAGTGGGCGATTGAGAAGGGCATTCCATAATCCATTATGAAAACATGAACTAAAAAGATTATAAGCATCTCTTTTCTCAGTTTTGCTACTTGTGAAACAGGGATATTAGTTATGTTCTAGTGAACACCAAGAACAAGGCCTTCTCTTCTTATCCCAGCAGATAAGAAGCTCAAACTTTTCCTCTCCTAGCCTTCTGCATTTGCATATGGCAGGGGCTGGGACTTGTCTCATTCCCAGTTGGTGATTTGTGGATTCATGACTGTTGTAATCAGAGAATATAGGCAAGATCAGATTTTCTTGGATTTTTTTTCTGCTCTCTCATTGTCAAGTGTTTTCTGCCTGTCCCTAGGAGGGCCAGTGCTCTGTCATTACATATATTAATCTTAGCAGATGAGGCACTCTGGGAGTGGGGATACTCCAAATATCCTCAGTCTTTATGTCCTAGTTCTTGTTGAACAAAGCCCTTTGACAAATTCATTGTTTTCCTCCTAGGAATGATTATTTTCCACTTATGTCTTGTTATGGCAATAACTCAACAGTGAATTCCCTTCTGCATACCAAGCATGGTGCTAAGTTGAACGACACTGCAGTTTATAGATCTTCGATTTCTCTTCTGCAGTTCACTTAGAGGATAAAGTCAGTTGATTACACTGATCATAGACATGTATTTTTCCTGACACATGGTTTCTCCATTTTGTTTAACAGAGCTGTGTCTGCCACATTCATTCCCTTTAAAGTTTGAGTCCTCCCAGGTCATATACTATATCAGTCCACTCTATAAAGGTTTTGTCATATAGATGACCTATATAGATTGTCTGCACTTCGAGTTTGGTTTAAGTAACAAGGATAAAGATTCTTCTACATTAACTATATAGTTTTTCTTCAGTGTGCGAGTCCTCAAGAGTGTTTATAGTTTGAGGCTACATGTGGTGAATCTTCCACATTTATTATCTTTATACCATGTGTTTTCCCATGTTGTCTGAGGTTAAAATACTTACTGAAGGCTTTCCCACATACATAACATTTATAAGGCTTCTCTCCAGTGTGAATTCTCTTATGGAGTCTAAAGTTATAATTCCTATTGAAGGCTTTACCACATATATTGCATTCATATGGTTTTTCTCCAGTGTGAGTTCTCTCATGGCGCCTAAGGACAGAAGAATGGTTGAAGGCCTTCCCACATAGATGGCATTCATATGGTTTCTCCCCAGTGTGAGTTCTTTCATGTCGTTTAAGGACAGAAGAATCAGTGAATGCTTTCCAACACAGGTGACATTCATATGGCTTCTCTCCAGTGTGAGTTCTCTCATGTCGTCGAAGAACAGAAGATTCAGTAAAGGCTTTTCCACATAGATGACATCCATATGGTTTTTCTCCAGTGTGGGTTCTCTCATGTTTTCTAAGGTGAGAACAGTGAGTGAAGGCCTTCCCACATACATGACATTCATAAGGTTTCTCTCCATTGTGAGTTCTCTCATGTTGTCTAAGGTAAGAAGTTTTACTGAATGTCTTACCACATACATGGCATACATATGGTTTCTCTCCAAAGTGAGTTCTTTCATGTTTTCTAAGGTCCGAACAATGAATGAAGACTTTTCCACACAGAAGACATCCATGTGGCTTTTCTCTAGTGTGAATCATCTCATGTCGCCTAAGGTTGTAACTTTTACTGAAGGCTTTCCCACACAGATGACACGTATATGATTTCTCTCCAGTGTGAATCCTCTCATGTTTTCTAAGATCAGAACAGTGAGTGAAAGCCTTCCCACATAGACAACACTCATGTGGTTTCACTCCAGTGTGAATCATCTCATGTCGTCTAAGGTTAGAGTTTTTACTGAACGGTTTCCCACATACATGGCATTCTAATGTTTTTTCTTCAGTTAGAGTATCATTGGTTTGTCTAAGGGCAGAGTTCTGAATATAGGCATTCCCACGATGATATTCATGTGATTTACTTCTAGCATGAATGTGCTTATGTAGACTAAAGGATGACAAGTAACTGGTGTCTTTTCTAAATTCTTGGCTGATATAGGGTTTCCTTCTCATTGGAGGTATTACATATTGAGTCAATGTTAAGATTTTAGTAAAATTTTCTCCCAAATCATTATATTCAAAAAGATCCTCTTGATTGTGAGATTTCTGTTTTGAAAGAAAATGAGAGACTTACAAGTTTGCTCACATTTACTCATTCCTTCATTTATTTCTCTACATATAAATTCTAGAGTAATCATTCAGTGATAGACTCCAGCTAAAGGATTCATATGTTAGTTACATGAAATATTACTCTCTAGCAGCATAGAGTTTCCTTTTGTAGAATCCCAACTGCAGAGATAAGTGATTCACTTTTAAGACATGATTATGTTACAAAGATTAGGCACATTGCCATAATCATGCAACTGGATGTTTATAATACCACAGGTTGTGGTTTTGACTTCAGGTTCCCTAAAACCAAATTAACTGAAACTTTCCACAATGAGAGCCTTTCCCCCCAACTTTAATTACAGTCAGGTAATCATGCCAAACACCTAACTTATTCAGTCCCCAGGCCTTCACTTGGTAAAACAGGTTCACATCCATGAAGCTTACCATTACGCTGAATAAGGATGTGTCCTTCCTGCAGATGTCTTGCATGGATATAATTTCTAGTTTTTTAAGATCATCTTCCCTATCTGAAATGAATGGAAAAAAATAAATAGCTATAGAATGGCATTTGGGGAATTAAAATGTTGAAGAGATCTAATGCCCATTTGAGTATGTATCAAATATTGACATAGGACTAAAGAATATTATAGAAAGTAGAAGAAACACATTAAAGGACATCAACAATTGACATTTTCAGGATGAAATATGAGAAAAATAAAATGAGGTTGCTAACTGAGGAGATAAAGAGGGAAAATTTTTTATAGAATAGGACCAAGGGACATTTTGTGAAATTTTAACTCTAATAAATACATGACTATTATCTTCTCTAAAGCCAAAGACAATGACAGAAAAACACGTGAATAGAAATTGATACCTTCAAAGATAAATGACAGCATCTGAAGTACTTTTGCCTATGACACTGTCTACATTAGAACTTAGGTATCTGCTTTTGATCCTTCTTAGGGCCTACTCACTGACTAGGCTCTGCTTGAAGCTCACCTTGGCTGTGGCTTTGTAGAAAACCAATCCCTTCTCCTGAAAGTTGCTCTTCTTGATCCAAATGGGAACTCACATCTGATCTATAGAGTTGTTTGCCTGTTTGCAGAAAAAGATAAATGCATTTTGAGTTCTGTGCCTCTAACAGTACACAATTATCAACATAGGGCTGACTAATGAGGAAGAGTAAGATAACCTCTAAAGGTCAGCACAGGGAAGAGGACATAGAAAACATGGATGTTCCTTCACCAGCAAAAGGACAGCTCCTGAACTTGTTCCCAAAGACATGAAGGACCTGTCAATGATGATGCCCATGTCCAAGTTAAGGGACAGACTACAGAATCTTCGACACTTTGATTTAATGAGTGCAATATAATGAGTCGTAAGAAATATGGTACTTGGTCATTCATGTGATCAAATATGTATTTCCCAGGTATGGTCTGCTTCCACAGCTTCTGAAAACACTGCAGTCTTAAAGGTGAAATGGGTATTCTGTAACGTTAATGAGAGACTTTTGGACCCCACCCAAGCACAGGGGCTGAATGCCAAATCAGCCAATGGCCAATAATTTAGTCACTTATGACTATGCAATGAGGCCCCCACAAAAATACCTGAGAGGAGCTTTTTGCTCTCTCTCTGCTCTACTCAGTTGGATCCTACTTCTTGGTCAGAGAGAGCTTCTATGCTTGAGGAACTAGAGTGCCTCCACATGCCACCAAACCAGGCTCCAAGCTCTATGAGGATAGAAGCTCCTTTATTTGGGACCTTGCCCTATGTCTCTCTTCATCTGGCTCTTAACTTGTATCCTTTAAGGTATACTTTATTAAACTGGTAAACCTAAATGTTTTCCTGAGTTCTGTGAGCCATTCTAGCAAACTAATTGAACCTAAAATGGAGGTCTTGGGTAGCCAGTAGGTCAGCAGCATAGGTTCTAAGTTCCTGGAGCTTGAGACCAGCATCTGGAGTGGGGAAGTAGAGGGTAGTCTTGTAGGATGGAGTTCTTAACCTGGGGAATCTGGTGCTGTTTCTGGGCAGATAAAATCAGAACTGATTTGAGTTCTCCGACACCCTGCTGGACTTTGAGAATTGCTTGGTGTTAGTATATGTGGGAAGACCCCCTCCCACATTCCTAAACACGTTGGAATCAGGTCCAGGAACTTGAATGGAGTTATACTACTATTAATGCTGTGTATAATATTTTTTATATGTGTGTGTGTGTAGGGAAAACACCATTGCATTTGGTGTCAGAGGAGTGGGACTCTAGTGATAATATAAATTTTCATACTGTTTAAAAATTATATCCAGAAAGAATCTAATAAATATAACTTTCACCAGAAAATTCTAGGTTCCATATGGAAAACTGTGTGTGTTGTTTTTAATAGTGTAGTGTGATCTAACCACAATACCTGAAGCAAAAAAATTACTTAAAAAAAATTACCAAGTCAAAAACATAAGTTTCCATCACTGTTTGAGCATAGGAGATTAAGTAGCAAGACAGACATGAAATTGTGTCAGGAAGATTACAGTCTAGTGGGATGACAAATGAAATATAAGAAAAAAATAGAACTGCCATAAGGCATTTGGGAGATTTATGATAGAATCGACACAAATTGGAGTGAGAAATGGGAAAGCTTTCCTACATAGTTGCTGAGTGAATGAATGAATATATACATATGTAATAAAAAGGAGACTCACCAATTGAAACCAGATGACTGATGTTCTCCAGCATCACATCTCTAAATAGTTTTCTCTGGGACATGTCCAGCAGGGTCCACTCTTCTTGGCTGAAGTCTACAGCCACATCCTCAAAGGTCACTGATTCCTAAAACATGATGGTACAGGCAACAGCACTAACTAAGAGGTGGCTGAGTGTACAGAAAGCTTGTAGTAAAACTTTTTCCCACCAATTTGAAGTCCATGGACTCATCACAAGGATGCAGTATCCTTGATCTGCCACTCTGTAACCAAACTATGGTTAGATTTTTTTCCTTTATGACCTCAGTCCCCTCATCAATGAAATGGTTTAATAACCTGTTATGAGTTCTGAAAGATCCAATGAGGAAATGTGTAAAGTATTACCTATTTGGCAAACATTTCTGTGATATAATGAGTTATAAGAAATATATTTTTGATTATTCCGATGACCAAATATATATTTCCCAGGCATATTCAGTCTTCACGCACAGTTCTAGCAAACACTTCAGAGCCTTCAGGTGAAATGGGTGTCTTGTCAAGTTAATGAGACTTCTAAACCCCACCCAAGGGCAGGGCTAGAGGTTGAATCAGCCAATGGCCAGTGATTTAGTCAATCATGACTATGCAGTGAAGCCCTCACAAAACCCCCATGAGAAGCTCTCTCTCTCTTGGATCCTTCTTCTCTGTTGGAGCCTCCATGCTTGGGGAACCAGAAAGCCGTGCAACCAGGCCAGGCCCCAATGTCTGTGAGGAAAGAAGCTCCTTTATTGGTAACCTTGCCCTATGTCTCTCTTCATCTGACTGTTAACTTCTATCCTTTACACTATGTTTCATTTAACTGGTAAAAGTGCTTTTCCTGGGTTCTGTTAGCTACTATGGCACATTAATCGAACCTAAGGGGGAAGTTGTTGGAACCTCCAATCTGTAGCACAGGGAACTGCCTGGGGCTTCTGACCAGCATCTGGAGTAGGGTACAGAGGGCAGTCTTGTAGGACTCCTAGAACCCTTAACCTGGGTAATCTGGTCTCTGGGCAGGTAGCATCAGAATTGAGTTCTCAGACACCTTGGTGTTCAAGAATCGCTTGGTGTTGTGCATGGGAAGACTCCCTTACACACACACACACACACACACACTCTGTAACTGGGTAGTTCAGGAACCCAAAAGGAGTTACTGTACCATGATAAAAAAATTTCTTAAACACTGCTTAAAGGTTTATTATGCATTAAATGGCATAGAATATTGAAGCAATGTTCAGAATTCTGCAAACTGAACAGAATTCATACAGGAATATGATCCACAGTGTGGCCTTTCATCTTTACACAGCTGAGGTGTTCATTATAAAGCACAGGACAAATTGTTCAGCAGACAAGCGAGGTACCCAAGGACTTCCTTACTAAAGGGCAGAATAATTCTGACCCTTCCTCTGGTCTGAGGCCTCCTTTTCCCAATTTTCTGGAGCCTCCAAATATCAGTCATCACTGACTCTTTTGTTTCTTCGTCTCATCTCTGTTCAAGTACACCTAAAGCTACCTGGCTGGTCTGGCCTCGTTAGATCATCAGACATTTCCCCAGAGCCTTGTTTAACTCTACGTCCTATGCTCTGATTTGCAGCCCAAGTTAAGGAAACAATACTCCCTATACATTGTTTACTCTTATAAAATTTGAACAAAAGGGGAAATTACAAAGACAGAAAGTTTATCATTTGGGAATCAGAAAATAATGAGAATTTTACTTTAGTTCTGTAGAAGTTTTCAAAAAGTAGAAATATATTCTATCAGAACTTTAGAGGGTTAAAATCAGAAAAAAATGGATGAATCCCCATGGCCTTGTCTGGCATAAGCATCATTCATTTCCCATGAGCACTAAACAGCAGTTCTCCCAGCACCTCTAATGGCAGAGTAACTGAGCTCATGGGAAGAGACATCTGTCTCCCTACTGGGCTATTATGTTTTGCTCCTTACTCATCTTTATCACCACCTCTCACTGCAGTCCTAAACCCATTACAGTCAATAAAATGGTAAATCACTAGGGGTTTTTTTTGGCAAACTATGCCAACTATGGAATGGATGTGAAAAAGAAAAACTTTCTCATCTCTTCTGTCTATACTAGCACTAAAGGATGCTGGAATATCTTAGTATGATGCTGAGGAGATCACTTGATGAATCACTGACTCAACATGACCATTCCAGAGTTCTGGGAAAACTTAGGTGAAGCTCAGATCCTTGAAAAGATCCTGACTGCACTTAGAACATGAATGTCTATTGCAGAGATATTTGCATACACAGGCAATGCAATTTCAGTAGAAAGAGTAATTCCCTACTCACATGCAATTCCATTGTGACTAGCTCAGCTGGCAACTGTCTCCTAGGTTTTCACTCACACATGATCCAAGCCACAGGAGAGAGGCTGAGGAAGGAGAAAGATGCTATGAGACTCCAGTTGCCCACAATCTCCAGAACACCCAATCCTTAACTTGAAAGTAGCCCCAAATATCCAACCAACAGATATATCCTATATGCTCTAAGAGAAACAGGGGAGAGAGGTCCCCTCTACCAGTGTCAAAAGTTAAGAAGTATGACTTGTTGCTTGAAAAGAAGATACAAATACCCTCAATTTAGAGAGAAGAATGTGAAAAACATTCATTTTAGTATGCAAAATAACCCATGGAGTTCAGAAGTATCCAGTTCCCTTCTGATCCCAGACCACAGGGCTCCCTGACTCATGCCATGTGTCTCCACCTCCAGAAATCAACATGGAATTTCACAGGTTTAAGTATTAGGTTGTGCATAGTTTTTCCAATCCAATCTGTTTGTGGTGTGTCTACCCATTCCTACTCTCCCCTGCATTTGGCCCTCTGGAAAAACCTTAAGTCAATTTGCCACATCTACATAGGGTTTCCAGCAATAACATCCCCACAGCACTGACTTTTAGGTTTTTTTCTGCATTAATATAGACATGAACCTAGATAATTAAGAATAAATTTTATATTCAGTGACATTTCATTTGGAGGCAACAATGGCACCCATCTTGCTAATTTATCCCTTATTTTCTCATGCATAAAGCAAGAGCATGAGTATGTGTGTTACAGTACTGCTATCATGTCCAACAATCCTCATAAGGTAGTAAGCTCGGAAATTACAGAATAAAATGACTTAGGAGCAAATTTAGTTGTTCCATATATTTTAGAAAAGTGGTAGCTGAAATCCTGTCTTTTATCATTAGCTGCAACTTTCATGAATGCATTATGTGTGTGTCTCTGTGAGAGCATTTATAAACTGCAATTCCTTCCCCCCAAATCATTAATAGTTAAATGTATTTCATGGAGAAATGATGACAGTGAGTCATAAATACAAGGTTTAACTCACCCATTTGTACCTGATGTTAACAAAAGAAATACTTGTATTAAATCTAACTCTGTACTTGGAAATTTACATGTGTTTGCTTACTCATTTCTGAAAGTAATTCTGTTGACTATGGTTCACATATTAACTTAATAAATGACATGATCAGAAGTTTACACAAGCATAACAATGCATTGAAGCACACAGCATAAAGTGACACAGCTAAAATTTGAATTTTCTTCTTCCTGCCTCCTAATGTCAAAGTCTTTTAAGAGTTACACTTCATACTTACATTTTTACTGGTAACAGTACCTCTAACATTAATAATCAGAGGCCCCACACTGTTTTTGTAATATATTCTCTTTGTATTTTCAAAAAATGTAATCTTTTGCCCATGGTTTCTACCACACAGGTACCACTGCCTTGAGTTCCTAGACATCAATCGTCGACTATCATTTTTATTGCTCCGTTTAATTCCCTTACTCATTTCAATAGATACTTACCAACACTAACATTATTTATGTCCTTCAGAGTATTTATCACATCTGATCAAGACCTCAAAAGAAGGTGACTCCATACCTGCCTGATTAAAATGTGTTATCTCCTACCAGCAGCCTCTCCCTCTCGTCAAAATGCATCCTCTCATTTAAACACATCTCCTCCAAGCTGAAAGTTAAACATCCTCTGAACTTGAACTCCCTCTGCCTGTCTCCCTCCCTCAGACCCCATTTTCTATCAGAAAGAGCTTACAAGCTTAGGGAACAAGGAATCTTCCATGTGCCATTGAGCCAGACCCAAAGCTCCAGGATGATGGAAGCTCCTCTATTTGGGATCAGAATTGAGTTCTCAGACACCTTGGTGTTCAAGAATCGCTTGGTGCTGTGCATGGGAAGACTCCCTTACACACACACACACACACACACACACTCAGGAACTGGGTAGTTCAGGAACCCAAAAGGAGGCAACAATGGCACCCATCTTGCTAATTTATCCCTTATTTTCTCATGCATAAAGAAAGAGCATGAGTATGTGTGTTACAGTACTGCTATCATGTCCAACAATCCTCATAAGGTAGTAAGCTTTCCCTATGTCTCTCTTTAAATGGCTGTATCTTTTACAGTATCTTTTACAGTATCTTTCTTTAAACTGGTAAATGCTGTTTTTGAGTTCTGTAAGACCCTCTAGCACATTAATCGAACCTCTAATCTGCCTGGGGCTTGTGACTAGCATCTGGAGTTGGGGGTGGAGGGCAGTCTTGCAGGATGGAGCCCTTAACCTGGGGAATCTGTTGCTGTCTCCTGGCAGACAGCATCAGAACTGAGTGAGAATTGCTTGGCATCATGCATGGGGAGACCCACTTCCATACACACACACCTTGGAATTGGTTCTGAGAACCAAAAAGGAGTTATACTGCTGTGTAATACTATTGCTGTATGTAGGAAAGAGACACAAGCTCTTTCTCTCCTGTTCCTGCCTTTATAATCCACTTGTAAGCTGGAGCTCACATCCCACTCGCCATTTGACTTACTAACATCACCAGTGATATCTGCATGAGTAAGTTTAATGTTTGTGCCTCAGGCTTTTATTTGGGACTAAATAATTGTTACATGCTTTTTCCTAGGGAAACTTTTCCTTATGTTCCTAGGGGACATACTTTTTCCTAGGTTTCTCTGATATCTCAGTCTACTAATGGAATGCCAACTTATCTCCTCATTCCAATTCATTATCACTTGCCAAGAACTCCTGAAACAATACTGTGGGAAGATTTTAGGACTCCACCCTATGACTTCAACTTTCTTCATGAAAGTACACTGCCCTGGTATGCTCACACATTTATTTAGTTGCTTTAAATTCTTCCATTACATTTTCCAAATTGAAAGTGACAAAAGTCCTGTGTGAATTCCATTTCTGAGCTCTCATCTGTTTTCAGACTTGAAATGTATCTCAGGACATTGCCTCTCACTCCCCCAAATGTCATTCTGTACCTAGCCTTTAACTTTCTTAATGTCTTCACCAGACATCTAAGGTTTGGCATTCTGTAAGGTCTCTCAACACTGAAACACAATTTAGCATTGCTTATTTAGCACATACTTACGTCCTTCAATTTCAGTTTAAATGTCAATTTCTCAGATTCCATCACTGAACTCCTACCACAATGAATGCTTCCCTTCACAAAAACCCATTTACAAACTGAAGGTCTAACCCTCCTGGTGAAAATGATCTCTAGTATTCATCAGAACATAGATGGCAAATCCAACGGAGCCAAATATTTGAGGATGCTGGCACAGCATTCCAGAATTCAGAGCTTCTTTCTCTCTCAGAAAACACATCATTTTGATGTTGAACTCTCTTTTAAAGTAGTTGATAACTTCATCAATGTCATGCTTCAAACGATGAATCTGGTTAACTCTGTTTCCAAGCCAGATAAACCTATAAAGATATGCCTCTTCAAGGAAATATTTTCCTTCTCATTAGGCTAATAAAGTAGATGAAATTAAGGGCATTATCTCTTTGTAATAATACAACTCCTTTCAGGTTCCCAGACCCAAAACCATTTCTAAGTCTACAGTTCACTGGTGTTAAATACACTCACAATGTTGTGCATCCATCTCTACCATCCATCTCTGGAACTCTTTTCATCTTATAAAACTTAAACTTTTTACCCATTAAACACTAACTCCCCATTCCTCCTTCCCCTCTGCCCCTGACAACCATAATTGTAATTTCTGTGTCAAATAGGCATTTTTAAAATGTTAAAAAAGAAATTTAAAATTTTAAAGTATCAAGATGTTTCTTTATAGAAAGATATGTTATTTCTGAAGAAAAATCAAGCAATACATTTTCATTTTGGGTATATGCATTTGATTCCATAAGAATATTTGATATATTTTTAAAAGTTATACTCTTCTGAAAGTAAAAAAATTGTTTTCATTATCAATTCTTGTTTTCATGTATCTCTGATGTTGTCTTATGTCTACACAACCTATCTCCTGCAACATTCTTGAGGGAAGTAAAATTCTCCTTTTGTCATAAAGGAATATATGAGGCAAAATTATACCAGGGGGTCAAATTATAACAATGAATAAAACAGGAAGATCAGCTGCTGTTGTGGAGTTAAAAGTCTAGTTTAGAGGATACTAAAGAAACAACTAGGATACATGTACTGAAGTATGTGGAGGGAAAGCACTCTTGAAATACCCCTGTAATTTATCTGAGACCTTAAAATTTAAGCTGGAAAAAAACCTTAGAAAGTTTTGCATAGTTGGAATTATCCAACTAAATGAACCAATGTAGCGTCCCAGATACACTGCAGAACCTGCTCTGCCACAGGAAGCAAATACACCGGAAGGCAGCCGAATGAAAGGGTGAACTGGAGAGGGTTGATGGCCCAGAGATCTCAGGGCATTAAGATCACTGGAACTGGGCTGGTTATCTTCTAAAGCTGGTGGAATCCACTGGAGAATTGAAAGCAAGAGAGTGACAGGAATAAATTCGTGAATAAATTCGTGTTTGCAAATGAGCCTTTTGATGAAGAATGGAGTGAAGTGATGAAGAAGGTTGATTAATTTTGAGAATTGGTTGTATGGCATAGGGTGTAGTTAGTGAAACTGGTGTGGGAGGTGGAGGGATATGAGAGAAAAAGAAAAGGAAGTACAATCAAAATAATTATCATTGTAATATCTCAGGTATTGTCAAGCATACACAGTCAGACTTAGTGCTAAAGGCTGGGTATGTCACTAAGACTTCATTTCCTTCTCTTAGTGCATTTGAAATCTAATCTAGAAGGAAATAAATATCAAGTGCAATGCTGTGTTACTATATAAACCTACAGACAAGTTAGCAAAGAAATTTTATATTTGGTTTGGGCACAATGAAAAGAAGGTCTTCCTGATGTCTGTTCAATTTACTTAAAAATTTTCAGAAGGAAATTGAACTAGGAAGTATCCTGGAAATCAGTGCTGGATAATTAGAGGTTGAGAGAGAGAAAAGGTAAGAAAGTTCCATGTGGTGGAAAGAGCACTTTCTGATAAATCAAATACACTGATGATTAATTGCAATCAACTGTACTGAGGGAGAGGAAGAGGTTTGTACCAAGAATTGCTCCAAATTTAAAGCCTCTGCTTGAAAGTTAGGGTCAAGGTGTTTTGACATTTCAAATTTTCATGAGTAAAACCAGTATTAATACAAGTTAAAAGAAGAAAAGATTAAATAAGTGATTGAAGATTTGACAGAAAAAAATTTTTGAGTGAAATTAAGGAATTAAAAAGGACTTGTAAGAAAATAACACTGATAATTAAAACAGACCACCTATTCATTAAAAGCAATCATTTATAAGAAAAAATTGGAAAAAGTCTATCTATTCTCATTAATTTTTATGTGTTGGATGAATTGATTAAATTCCAAGAAAATGTTTAAAATATTCACTCACAAATAAGAATAATCTGATTAGCAATTTTTAAGATAGAAATGGTATATTACGGTGTATCTCTAAAATGGATTCGTTACAGTTCTGTTAATATGTTAAGGCACTCATACAACACTGTGCACAGGAATTTTTTGCAATAATGAAAGGGATAATTGGATACTAGAGAGCATATTCCTTTCATATATTGATTTTTTTTTTTCTACACACTTCCTAACTTCAAATGAGTGGATACTTGGGGCCATGTGTTTTTTTCTTTGGTATCATTAATATAAAATTACATGAGCAACATTGTGGTTACTAGGTTCCCCTCATTATCAAGTCCCCACCCCATACCCCATTACAGTCGCCGTCCATCAGTGTAGTAAGATGCTATAGAGTCACTGCTTGTCTTCTCTTGCTATACTGCCTTCCCCATGCACCTCCCTATGTTATGTGTGCTAATCATAATGCCCCTTATTTCTCTCTCCCTCCCTTCCCACCCACCCCAACCTCCAGTCCCTTTCCCTTTGGCAACCGTTAGTCTATTCTTGGGTTCTGTGAGTCTTCTGCTGTTTTGTTCCTTCAGTTTTTGTTTTGTTCTTATGCTCCACAGATGAGTGAAATCATCTGGTACTTGTCTTTCTCCACCTGGCATATTTCACTGACCATGAGACCCTCTCGCTCCATCCATGTTGTTGCAAATGGTAGGATTTCTTTTCTTCTTATGGCTGAATGATCATATATTAATTTTTGATATACAAAAAAATTAGATCACCTCAGGAGACCCTTGGAAAAATAGTTCATCTTTAAAAATAATTGAAAACCTTTAAAATTCATGAGAAATGGGGGAATAATTGCTGTTATTCAAGAAAATCTCAGTGAATGTATTTAGCAGTAAACAAAGCAGTTCCATTACAAGTAAGGCTGAGAAGAGGGGGCTGGCCAGGACTGATGCCATTCACCAATGCATAGAATGCCTGAAAAGAGAGGTATCCATAGAATAGCAAGAAAAGAGAGGAAAGGAGATGAAATAAAGAAGTGGAGTCAGAGAATTAGAACTGCAGCTATTCACAGAAGATAGTATTCCAACTGCAGAAAATAGGACAGTCCATTTTAACTATAATACCTAATAAGAATACTTTAAAAGTGTTCAATAAACTGAAATCTTGATATTTCATTAATATTCCTGATAAACTGAAATCAGTATTTCCTGTTTGGTAACAATAATTTATAAATTAAGCAAACACACACAAAAAAGTCTTGACCTAAAACAGAAAAATATTATGACTCCTGTTTGAAATAAATTTCAGAGCCATGTAGAGAAATTCTAAAACTTTCTGATAACATAACAATGACACAAATAAAGCCTGTTGAATCAAATATTTATATTAGAGGACATGGTGATATAAAACTCTCAGTGACAGCAGAGATTTGGTGCAACCCAAATTAAAAAGTCATGTGGAGTATTCCACATAGAAAAAAATGAGAATTATCCTAAAAGACAATTTTTTCTCAGTTTAGTTTAGATTTGGGGTGAGGATATAGCTGAAATATTTGTGAAAAGAAATTGAAGAAGGCCAATTACATCTGAACACATCTGAAACTTTCAAATTAAATAAAATAGTTCAAACAGTATTAAAACATATTAGTACTGAATGGAATATAATACTTTAAAATATAAAATAGGTGACACCTTCAAAAGGAAAAAAGCAAAGGGCATGAAGAAAGGATTTTGGTTTCAGAACATAAACATCCTAAGACCAAAGTGTATGTTATCAAACCATAAAATATAAAATAGCATCTAAATGCATATCAAAAAGGAGTCAAGTAGTAATATTAATTTTACATAGGCATGTTTTTGAAGAATAAAATTTATTCAGTCTCTTAAGTTATTAGTGAAATGGAAATAAAAACAAGGAGTTTTCCTGTAATGCAAACCAACAAATACACACACACACACACACACACACACACACACACACACACACACACACTTGAGTGCTGGTTTATGTAGGGGGGAAATCTCATGTGCTGATGGTAGAGGAGGATTTCTCTGCAGATCAGGGGGGATTTTGCCAGAGTTTATTACAATATGAAATGCATCATCTCCTGTCCCAGTATTCAAACGCCAACTTACCCAAAGTTGAGCAACTCTGCAGAGAAGGTGATTCTTTACGAATCCATGAACACCAAGGTTTCCTTCGGACTGATGTGCTGTGAACAATTTAAAAACCTTTCTGTTAGACATGTAGGTTGATCCCATTTTTAACCAATTACAGAATAAAAAATACACTAATCATGTGGATGGAATGCTGCCTTACTTTGTTATGGTTACCAGTTTATAATCTCTCCATTCTATTGCAAATCATTAATATTTTTAGGCCAATTACAGTTTCACTTTAAGCCTCAAATGCATTGTACAATCAAGTAGAACAAATTTCCCTTTATTGATTTTTTTTCCCCAGGATTTTTAAGGTATTCCTGACATCAATTCACTAATGTGTGTAGTTTCTTTAATGTTGGTATAGAAAGAGCTGACAGTACATCCAGATCTGGTCCCTACATACTCCCTATGGGCAAACCTCATAGCCACCACGTTGCCCAATTCTCCTCTATGTCTCATGTATGGGAATGAGGCATTTCTCATCATTATCCTCCAAATGGGGCCACCTCACAAGTATTCCCCTCATTATCAAGTCCCCACCCCATACCCCATTACAGTCGCCGTCCATCAGTGTAGTAAGATGCTATAGAGTCACTGCTTGTCTTCTCTTGCTATACTGCCTTCCCCATGCACCTCCCTATGTTATGTGTGCTAATCATAATGCCCCTTATTTCTCTCTCCCTCCCTTCCCACCCACCCCAACCTCCAGTCCCTTTCCCTTTGACAACCGTTAGTCTATTCTTGGGTTCTGTGAGTCTTCTGCTGTTTTGTTCCTTCAGTTTTTGTTTTGTTCTTATGCTCCACAGATGAGTGAAATCATCTGGTACTTGTCTTTCTCCACCTGGCATATTTCACTGACCATGAGACCCTCTCGCTCCATCCATGTTGTTGCAAATGGTAGGATTTCTTTTCTTCTTATGGCTGAATGATCATATATTAATTTTTGATATACAAAAAAATTAGATCACCTCAGGAGACCCTTGGAAAAATAGTTCATCTTTAAAAATAATTGAAAACCTTTAAAATTCATGAGAAATGGGGGAATAATTGCTGTTATTCAAGAAAATCTCAGTGAATGTATTTAGCAGTAAACAAAGCAGTTCCATTACAAGTAAGGCTGAGAAGAGGGGGCTGGCCAGGACTGATGCCATTCACCAATGCATAGAATGCCTGAAAAGAGAGGTATCCATAGAATAGCAAGAAAAGAGAGGAAAGGAGATGAAATAAAGAAGTGGAGTCAGAAAATTAGAACTGCAGCTATTCACAGAAGATAGTATTCCAACTGCAGAAAATAGGACAGTCCATTTTAACTATAATACCTAATAAGAATACTTTAAAAGTGTTCAATAAACTGAAATCTTGATATTTCATTAATATTCCTGATAAACTGAAATCAGTATTTCCTGTTTGGTAACAATAATTTATAAATTAAGCAAACACACACAAAAAAGTCTTGACCTAAAACAGAAAAATATTATGACTCCTGTTTGAAATAAATTTCAGAGCCATGTAGAGAAATTCTAAAACTTTCTGATAACATAACAATGACACAAATAAAGCCTGTTGAATCAAATATTTATATTAGAGGACATGGTGATATAAAACTCTCAGTGACAGCAGAGATTTGGTGCAACCCAAATTAAAAAGTCATGTGGAGTATTCCACATAGAAAAAAATGAGAATTATCCTAAAAGACAATTTTTTCTCAGTTTAGTTTAGATTTGGGGTGAGGATATAGCTGAAATATTTGTGAAAAGAAATTGAAGAAGGCCAATTACATCTGAACACATCTGAAACTTTCAAATTAAATAAAATAGTTCAAACAGTATTAAAACATATTAGTACTGAATGGAATATAATACTTTAAAATATAAAATAGGTGACACCTTCAAAAGGAAAAAAGCAAAGGGCATGAAGAAAGGATTTTGGTTTCAGAACATAAACATCCTAAGACCAAAGTGTATGTTATCAAACCATAAAATATAAAATAGCATCTAAATGCATATCAAAAAGGAGTCAAGTAGTAATATTAATTTTACATAGGCATGTTTTTGAAGAATAAAATTTATTCAGTCTCTTAAGTTATTAGTGAAATGGAAATAAAAACAAGGAGTTTTCCTGTAATGCAAACCAACAAATACACACACACACACACACACACACACACACACACACACTTGAGTGCTGGTTAATGTAGGGGGGAAATCTCATGTGCTGATGGTAGAGGAGGATTTCTCTGCAGATCAGGGGGGATTTTGCCAGAGTTTATTACAATATGAAATGCATCATCTCCTGTCCCAGTATTCAAACGCCAACTTACCCAAAGTTGAGCAACTCTGCAGAGAAGGTGATTCTTTACGAATCCATGAACACCAAGGTTTCCTTCGGACTGATGTGCTGTGAACAATTTAAAAACCTTTCTGTTAGACATGTAGGTTGATCCCATTTTTAACCAATTACAGAATAAAAAATACACTAATCATGTGGATGGAATGCTGCCTTACTTTGTTATGGTTACCAGTTTATAATCTCTCCATTCTATTGCAAATCATTAATATTTTTAGGCCAATTACAGTTTCACTTTAAGCCTCAAATGCATTGTACAATCAAGTAGAACAAATTTCCCTTTATTGATTTTTTTTCCCCAGGATTTTTAAGGTATTCCTGACATCAATTCACTAATGTGTGTAGTTTCTTTAATGTTGGTATAGAAAGAGCTCACAGTACATCCAGATCTGGTCCCTACATACTCCCTATGGGCAAACCTCATAGCCACCACGTTGCCCAATTCTCCTCTATGTCTCATGTATGGGAATGAGGCATTTCTCATCATTATCCTCCAAATGGGGCCACCTCACAAGTCCCATGTTCCTGGCTTACAGTAAAATGGACTTGGTATGAAGATGGGGGAGTACTGAGGGAAGGCTGTGGGTGAATGAGAAAATGTGTTAGGCAGCATACTTCAGAGTCAGAAATTGGCATGTCCTAAAAATAGCATTTCAGGAAGGATAGGACAGAACTATTAACATATGACTTCTTCCAGAGAATGAGCCATTCCTGACTTATCTTCCTTCTCTATGAGCATCTTTCTCAGCAAGATCAGTCTTGAGAAGTCACTCATCAGTGTTGAGAATGTGCCTTTCATGTCTCTGAATAGCTTAACCACTTCCTTTGCCTCAAAACACACAGGAGAGTAATTCAATACATGAAAAAGATGGTCCTCCTGAACTATTGGAAAAAAGGGACCATTAGCTTCTACATGGAGATGAAAAGGTGGGTCTGTCTGCCATTTCCTTCCTACCACCCTTCTATCCTGTTTAAGCCCACATGCCACAAGTGAGTTATGGGAAAGAGTTGGTGTGACCCTCCCCTTCCAGTGACAATACTCAAAGTGTCTTCTACTACCTGCTGAGCACAGGAACACCATGCAGAGCTCTTCTTTTTCTCCTGTTCCTGAACTTCCCTAACTCTCTCCCATTCCTTAACACACAAACCACATTGTTTTTACTCTAAGCTCTCATCTCAGAGCCAAGTGCCACCTCTTCAAGGAGAGATACCTTTGTTGTTTCATAGTTTAAAAATTCTCGGTCTTGGCCTTTCCCTATCCAGCTCTCTTGTGACTCTGCGTGTTTGTTTTGGGGGAGGCAGAATTGTGAACAAGCCAGGCCAGTAGAGATTATTCATCACTGGCCTCACAGGAATGGATTGGCTTGGACTGGACAGTGGCAAGGCTTGTACTTCTCATCCATGCCACCCAAGATTCCAGACCATACTTCATTTTCTGCAAGAGCAACTTCTCTTTGTAGTTTTTACTCATACTGACTAAAAGCATTTAACTTCTTTTTTCCAAAGCCCTACCCATATACATCAGAAACTGTAACATTAAGAAGACCTAAGTACTGGGAATGAAAACCAGAAAAGGTCAGCTATGGAAGTAGTTCTGAGTAATATATTCATCACGAACAAATGAATTGTTAGAACAAAGTTCCAGGAGTATTCCTTCAATATATTATTTTTAAAAACGACAAAAGGAATTTGAAATTACCATAGTATTTAGTTGGAAACTACATCACAGATCATTAGAATAAAAGCTCACATAAGAAAGGAAGCTGCTGAGTATCAGATTACCTATTTGAACTTGATATAGATTGTGAAGACAAAAATCACCAATAACCCTACCAAGTGAACAATAAAACAGTGTAAAATTATTTACTAAGCACCAAAGAGGTTTCAGTATATAATAAAGACAGGAATAGCACCGAGGCCTCATAACTGAATGTGAGTCAGTTCATTTAAAAAGGAAAGTAACTTGGATATTTAAAAGAGAATCTAATAAATTTACAATCTACACTTCTATTGCCCCAACTGCTACTATTGGTCAGTGTCACCTCACTTATTCTGTCCTTGTGCATCTCCCTGTTCAACCTCTCATCAATTTTCTTTTGGCCCACTGTTTCTTGCAGGGTCACTGTCTTTTTCACTCACACTGCGTTTCCCAGTCCTTTGTACACACCTACTTCCCATCCTCTATTTTGCCCTTTTTAAAGCCCTCACTCTCCCGTACTCCTTCGGTCTCCTATTCTGTCCCTTTTAGCTTTCTCCCCTGGCACAACGCGACATCCACAGGGAAGGAAGTAAAACTGCCCTCTGCCTTGCATAAGCACGGCTTCCAGCGGGATGTCGGGAACGCAACGCACTCACTCTGGCAGGTGCAGCCAGGGAGTAGGATTTGGAACAGACGAACACAGGGTGTCCCGGGCCAGGCCCGGTCCCCTACCCGCCGGCTCTCCGGGGCTGCCCTGACGCGGGGCCCAAAGGGCAGGTCCTAGGAACTGCAGGACGAGGAAAACGAGGGGGTCTCTGGACTGGGGTCTGCAGAATCCCAGGGCCGGGGAGGGTGCGACGTCCTGCTGGGGACCTGACGCGGGGCAGCCGAGCTAGACACGGCGAAGAGAGGAAAGGCAGAGAGGTCGGGAGAGGCCTCGGAACGGTTTTGCCCGGAAACAGGCGGGCTCGGACAGTGAGGCTCAGCGATCGCCAGCCTGACCGTCTCAGGGGGACGCGGAGCTCCTCGCGGGCAGAATGGGAAGGTGGGGGGCCCAGGACGTTCGCAGGGCGGCCGGGGGCCCGAGGTAGCGGACCGGGCCGGGAGGGGACCGCGGAGAGCGGGACTGAACATCAAAGGCCAGGAGCGTACTCACCACAGGGGAACCCTCGTTCCTGGAAGCCCGCTTCCGGCTCAGCAGGAAATTACGCACGCGGTCGGGGCCTTAGGGAGTGGCGGAGGCAGACGGGGACGTGGTCCGCAGAGGCGGTACTAACGCAGGGGCGCCTCTGAGGGGGCGGGGCGTCGTGGGCGGGGCCTGAGCGTCTTGGGGCGGGTGGAGGGAGGTTGCTCCCGGTGTCCCGTCTTCGGCCCGCCGTACCTCCATCCTGGGCTTTGGGACGTCCTCGAATCCCTCCGTGTCGGGGCGGCAGCGCCGCTCCCTCCGTCCTGGCACTGCAGTCTCCGACCGGTCAGGTCGAGCGCTCAGCGGGGTGTCGCTTACGGGAGCGCTCAGTGGGGACTCGGAGAGCCGTTTCAGGGACGCTCCTGGGCTCGGGATAGCGGCATCCTGGGGACAAGCGTGGAAGGGATCCCATAAGTTTTCATTAATTTCTAAATATATTTTCTTTTCACATTTGTTGTTACATGTATCCCCAAAGCCATCTGAAATCACACACAGTAAGGAGGACTTAATCAAGGTTGGGGCTATCTGAACTCAGCGCAGGGACCACTACAGTGGGATTTTAGCAGTGAGACAGTTTTGGCTCAGCTCTGACACAGCACGGGAAGTGTGAATTTCTACGGATAGAAAATTAGTCAGGGGAATTATCAGGGATAGGGAGATTCTGAAAAATGATCTAACAGATGTCTTGCTGAAGGCAGTCCTTACTGACCAGACATCACCTATGGGATGTGGAGCATGATGAGATACAACGGTGGTGATCGGATATCAAGGGTGGGGATTCAGGTTAAACTGATGTAGCCCGTGTCTAGCCTAAGCTGGATTTTACAAGGAAGTGCATCGATGGGTCTAGGATAAGTTTGATGACTTAAGTTTGGTCATGCAAAGAATCTGTAAATTTATATATATTTCTTTTGGAAGTTCTGAAGTTCATTGTAGACGTCCCAGCCATTAACTTTGCTGTAGTTTAGTTTCTGCTTAAACTTGATTTATAACCAAAACTAATCTAAAATAAAGAACAATATAGTTCCTACTTAAGTTTGATTTATAGCCGAAACCAATCTAATAAAAAGAACAATATGTGATAATTCCTGGAATCTGGTGTGAGTTATAAACAGTGTGCAACAGGGGATGCAAACAGTTCTTGTGATACTTCTGAGGCAAACTCAAGACAAGGAACATGCTGTAAAACTCATGTAACCAGATGACTTGACTTAACACAACAGGAACATAAAAAAACATATCTAGTTTGCGGCTGGTTGATTCGTTGAGAAAGTATATTCAATAATTAACCAATGATTATTTTACTGCTTGCTGTAACCTAATAAAGATGCAGGGGCAAGCTGACTCAGTGCTTAGTCTCCAAAGGAAGTCTAAGCCCGTTGCATTAAACATCATTCTGACTTGTTTTCTCATTTTCGCGGTCCCAAACTGCAACAGTCTACGAGGTTGGTCAGTTCGCCTATGGACAGTGCTGTGGCATTTGAATGAGAAGTCATGTAAAGGAACTTTGAACCCACTGCATATGCTCACCCGCCTTGCTGCCTCTCCTATACAATTGTACATCCAAAGCAAAGAAGAGCTATTGAAGCCAGGGTACAGCCAGCAGAGCAATATCCTATTGCCAGCCCCTACTGCATTAAGCCCTGGAGACACTGTTGTGTGGACCTGGCCCTGGACATTTCGACACATGGGCCAGTGATGGCTGGCCCTTATGGCACCTTGGGAGAAAGGCCTGGAAGCTGGCCTCCTGTGTATTCCTGGAATAACAGCTGAATGGCCCCTAAAGGTCACAGTAGTGAACCTAAAACGTCCAGGAGGTAAGAGCATCTTGCGGGTGAGTTTTGTTTTATCTTTATGGCCAGTGCATGTAGCCCTATATGACCCATTTGTAACTCCCACAGGGAGGGGGTGAAAGTCTGGTATAGTAGACCAGGATGAGATCCCATTCCTGCCACTGTTTTATCACAAGACCACCCTCTTGCATGTATCCTACCTGTTGGACAAGATTTGCCTATGCTGGTGACATTAAAGCATGTATATTATCATCCTTAAGGTTTTATCCTACAGTCCTGTGGCCTGAATGTGCCCCCTGGCTGCAGCTGCTGCGTGATGATTGCTCTGAACCTTCAGCTACTGCCTGCCTATGGAATAGACAGGCTATGGACTGAATCTGCATGGAACTTTGAACCTAGCTGAATCCTCTGACTTGAGGATTATCATGATTTGATTGCTGTTGCTATTGTTATGTCATTAGTCTGGTCACAATGCTCCAGTTTTCTCACCCAGGGACCATTGTGGAAGAAGGGGAACGGATAGATTGTAAGAAGAGATTTCTGGAGGGGTGGCCTGTGGGTAAAATTGTAACATTTCCAGAGTATCTGGCCTGGCTTTAGTGCATTTGCATATCCTCAGGGGTGGAGAGAAGTTCATCTCCATGTCAGTAATTACCTGGGCAACCGAGGGCGTGTCTGATCCTGAGAGGTTAAGGAGAGGGGCTGGCTTACTTGCTGGCTTGCTTCCTTCTGGAGCAGGGGAGAGACGGTGCTTCCTCGGCGCTGGACTGCTGTTTGTAAGCAATAAACGGGTTTTAAACTTTATTTCTCCCTTTGACTGATTTCGGTTTTTAGAGGTATTTTGCCCCAGGATTTCCTTTCCCCAGACTTAAAATATTTGCAACAAATAAGCAAACAAGGAAGCCTGCACGACCCGGCTCTTGCTCCCGGCCTCACCATTGCTGCCTGCTGGCAGCAGATGATCACAGCACACGTGATCTTCCAGTGCCTTCCTGGTGGGATCTCTGAAGAGGAGGGGATCGCTTTTGCCCTGAGTGGTCTCCACATTTTTGTGTCCTTTTAGCCTTCATCCCCCCGCCCAGTTCTCACTGTACATTTGTCACCCTGTTTCTGTGTTGAATAGTGAGCTCCTGAAAATCTTGACTTGTACTTTTTTTCCACAGTATCCCTCCCTGGCAGCCATCACTGCATTCACTTACGATGCGAATTAGTATGTTACTGTAGCGATTCTGTAGCGAGGTCATAGGGTCCTGTTTTGGTGGTTTGGTCTGGTTTTTATTTTTTCAGTATTATCATTGCATAGAAAGCTGAATTAGTCTTCATGTTCCATAAAGACTTCATTAAAGATGAATGTTCCAGACAATTCCCCAAGCCCAGAGGGGCAGTGTTGAGATTGTCCAAGACGGTCGGGGACACTCACCCTGTTTACTGCAGCATTTGGAAACGTCGGGGCTGTGTATCTACTTCAGGAAGCAGGGGAGTCACCGCCTGGCAATCATCCCAATCCCCCAGCAAGGCATGGAGGCATCGTGCAACCTGTGACCAGGAACTACCCAGCTCGTTGCCATTAGAGATCCCAACTTTGGAGAGGGGCTGCAATGAGTTTAAATGCCTCCAAATCCGTGGATATTATCAGAATTGGATTATTTTAAAGAAAATAAACCTGTTATTTTCCTTCACCGAAGTAGAGAGACTTGTTACATTAATTGGATGCTTGCAGGATCTTGGGTGAGCGGAATCGCCTTCAGAGAACCGCTTCTTCACCCAGCTTTCACTAGGTAAGTACCACAACTACCCCCATTTTACTTCTGGATAAAACGAGGCCTCAGTGAGTCACACTTCATCCGCTGCCGTTCGGGTGAGAGCTTGACTCTCACCCGATTCTCCTACGTGCCTCCCCCACTGGAAAACCACGCGTGGTCCCCCCTCGCTCTCTTCCCACGCGCAACCCCAGCCTTCTCCAGTGTGCGCTGGTTTGGACCTCTTCAGGCAGCGCGCACCGAGCACGCTCGGGCTGGGTGGCGACGGCAACTACTGCGCATGCACCGCCGCGGGCTTCGTGAACCCGGCCAATCGGAGCCGCGCATGCCAATCAGAACGATTGGGCGGGGCTTCTCCGCCTACCTCTTAGGTCTACCTCGGGCGCTTCCGGCAGTTAACCCTGACGCACGCCGCAGGGGGGATAACTAGGGGTGTCCGCGCGTCTTTGGGGGGCCTGAACCCGTTGTCGCACCGGGTGAGGACCAGGAGACCCCGCGCGCGCCAGGTGGGGAAGGGGTAACCCGTTGTCGCGTCAGGTGGGGATCGAGGGGCGTCTGCGCGCTTGGGGGGATGGGGACCTGTTTTTGCGCCAGGCGGGGCTCGAGAGCGTCCGTGCTCCGGGTGGGGACTGGGGCCGTCCGCGCGCCAGTTGAAGACAGGGATAGTCTGCAGGCCGGGAGGGGGCCGAGGCGGCCCGCTGGCCACGGCGCAGCCTCCCCTCAGCCGACACCCACCTGACGGGCGGGCTCCTCACCGCCTTCGGGACTTCTCTCTTCCCTCCACCCGCGACCTCTCTCCGGCGTCTGCCCTCCGTCAGACCTGGACCCCCTGCTCCCCCGGGACACCTGCCTGGACTATCTTGTTCTCCTGAGGCCGCCCTCTGCCTCACCTAGCCTCACCTCCCTCCCTCTCTAGTTCTTGTCTGCAGCTGTCCCCTCTTCAGTTGCCTTCCAGCCTTCTTTTTCTTGGAACTGACACATCTGAATTTTGCATCCTTCCCTTTACAGTAAGCCCAGTTTTGGCCCTGCTTCCAGCTGGTTCCGTCATTCTCCTTGAGCCTACCCAAACTCATTTTGAAGACTCAGTGATCTATAGACAACCGTTTCTTTCCCATTGAAGCTGTCTTGTCTTGCTGCCTCCAAATCCTTTCCGTCCAGGTCTAATTAGAAAATCACACTTTCTCTTACTCTTTCACATTCTGTTTTTCCCTCTTTCCCCTCCCCGCCTTTTCCTACATGTTCTCCATTACCATGAAACATCTGTGGTATATCTCAGGCCCCCTTACGGTAAATCCCATTTATGATTCAAAGCCCTCAATTTAACATTTCTTAATGTTCTTTGTGGATCACATTCTTCTACACTAAGCCATGTTCACATTTTACCTCAAATTATTTGGCCATTCATTATTTTGAAATCTTACAAGAAAAAAAGCAATAAAAAAGGTAAAGTCCTTATCAAATTGAGGACCAGTAATTTTTATCTCAGAGCAATGAAAAGTATTTTCTTGAAATTTTTCGTAAGAAATAAAGGTGAAAGAAATTTGTTGGCCAGCTTTTTCTCCAATAATGCAACTGCCTTACTATTTTTTTCATTGTAACTTATTAGTTTTTTGTTTATCATATGTATAATGGTTAGCTCTTGCTTTACACTTAAAATTTTTATTGTTTTGAAGATCAACTTAGTAATTGCTGTAGTAGTTATTCTGCTTCCTTTTTATCTAACTTAAAAACAAATAGCAAAATACATGTAGCCTTTAAAAATGCTTGGAGTTGTGTTTCCTTTCATGTTTTCCTTGTCTTATGCTTTTACATTTAGATAAATCATTGCTTTATATCATATATGGTAATATGTATAATATAAAAAATGTGAAAACAAAGCCTGCAATTTTATCAGATCTATTTTCATAGGGTGTTAGGTAATTGCTATTCTAAAAATGAAGTGGTAGAGCATGGACCCTGAAGTGACATTCCATGAGTGTAAATCCCAGGTCCACCAAACTTTTGCATCAGTTTCTTCATCTGTAAAGTTGAGAGTTTAGCTTGTAAAGTGGGGATGAAAACATTTCCTACTTTGTAGGGTAGTGTGAAGACTAGATAAAATAATACAGGTAAATTGTTTACCATAATGCTTAACCCATATGAAGATCTAATAACTCTTTACTGTTGTTATTAAAGTGTGCTTGTTGGAGTAAAGACATTTCTTCGTTAGTTCTGACTCTTTGTGAGTCACTGGCAAATGAAGTTCATGGAGTCCTGTTGTCCTGCAGAGCTCCACCCTTTTGTCCTTCCATATAAAATAGAGATAAGGGAGGATTTATAATAGTTTGACCCAAATGCCCTAGCCATGAGTTGGCATAAAATGAGCACAAAGTTGTAAATTGTACCAACTATTTCACAACAGAGTAGCCCCCTGTGAGTAAAGTTGCTCTAACACATTTAATTATTTTAAGGAATAATTTCTAGTTTTTACTTTTGTATGTAGAAATTCTTAAAGGTAATTTTAATTAAAATTTAAAAACCCTAGCAATTCAGGTGTCTCAGCAGAACAGATAACTAAATTCCATTGCAGTGATGTCATCATTACAGAAGTTTAATAATGTTGTCTTCTGATTTGCAAAGTTAGATGCCTCAGATTGGAGATATTTTTGAAAATTTGAGAGCCAGAACTTTCAAATTGCAACTTGTCCTTTTTTTTTTTTCTTTTCCCCAATGGCTTTTTTGTTATTGTTAGTAAAAACTCTGCTTCCAGAGTCTGTGCTTTAGTTTGTGGACTGTATAAGATTATACTTCGAAATAAAATTTCACTGTAATTCAAAGAGCATAACATGACAAATCTTATGGAACACAAATCTACAGCAAAACAAGTCTTTTCCTCTGTGTTGAAAATGAAAACTTTGGTAGTGTATTATTTTTTATTTCTGTGATCCATTTAGCTGCATTTTGCTCCTTCGAACCCATGGAAATACAAACACTTAGCAGCTTTTGAAAATTCCAGTCCGACTATGTTCATTTCTCACAGAGTTGTTAAAAGGAATTAGCCATAGAATTTTGGTAGTTGTAAAAGAATTGATGATCTTACTGGAAACACCAAGCTGACTTGACTTTACAGTAGAAACTTTGTGTAAATATTAGAGAAATTCCTTGTGAGGCCTGAATATAAGTTTGTTAAGTGGTGGGTGAATGATGTCTACATAAATAGGTACAATGTTAATGTGTCATCATGACTTAAAATATCCTGTTAACTGAGGTGTTGACATACAGTCTGCATGCTAATCATAATGCCCTTTAATCTCCTTCTCCCTCCGTCCCCACTCACCATCCCCAACCCCTTCTCGTTGGTAACCGCTAGTCCCTTCTTGGAGTCTCTGAGTCTGCTACTGTGTAGTTCCTTCAGTTTTGCTTTGTTTTTAAGACTCCACATATGAGTGAAATCATTTGGTACCTGTCTTTCTCCGCCTGGCTTATTTCACTGAGAATAATACCCTCTAGCTCCATCCATGTTGTTGCAAATGGCAGGATTTCTTTTCTTTCTTACGGCTGAATAGTATTCCATTGTGTATATGTACCACATCCTCTTTATCCATTCATCTACTGATGGATACTTAGGTTGCTTCCATATCTTGGTTATTGTAAATAGTGCTGCGATAAACATAGGGGTGCATATGTCTTTTTTAATCTATTTCTATTTTTAGTTTTTTGAGGAACCTCCATATTGCCTTCTACAACGGTTGAACTGCTTTACATTCCCACCAGCAGTGGAGGAGGGTTCCCCTTTCTCCGCATCCTTGCCAGCATTTGTTGTTCCTTGTCTTTTGGATGTTGGCCATCCTAACCAGTGTGAGGTGATATCTCATTGTGGTTTTACTTTGCATTTCCCTGATAATTAGCTATGTGGAGCATCTTTTCATGTCCCTGTTGGTCATCTGAGTTTCTTCTTTGGAGAAGTGTCTGTTAAGATCCTCTGCCCATTTTTTAAGCAGGTTACTTGCTTTTTGGGTGTTGAAGCATGTGAGTTCTTTATATATTTTGGATGTTAATCCTTTATCAGATATGTCATTTAAGAATATATTCTCCCATACTGTAGGTTGCCTTTTTGTTCTACTGATGGTGTCTGTTGCTGTACAGGAGCTTTTTAATTTGATGTAGTCCCATTTGTTCATTTTTGCCTTTGTTTCCCTTGCCCAAGGAGATGTGTTCAGTAAAAAGTTGCTCATGTTTATATTCAGGAGATTTTTGCTTATGTTTTCCTCTAAGAATTTCATGGTTTCATGACTTACATTGAGGTCTTTGATCCACTTCGAGTTTATTTGTGTGTATATAGTAATACAATAATCCAGTTTCATTCTGTTGCACGTAGATGTCCAGTTTTGCCAACACCAGTTGTCGATGAGGCTGTCATTTCCCCCACTGTATATCCATGGCTCCTTTTTTGTGTATTAATTATCTCACCTTTTAAAGGCCAATATTCAGTAGCCTCCAGTCCTAAGTCTTCTTTCCTCTAGATTCCCCCCATCCACATCCATTATCCATAGTGTAACCCTGATTTCTTTGTGGAGCTCAAATCTGATTGAACTATTTACCTGCTGAAGTCCCTTTCTTGACTCTGCACCACCCTCAAGTAAGTCCAGCTCCTTTGACTTGATCTAATTCCTAATCACTTCTCCATTCTTCTAGCTACTTGCCACTTTCTCTCTTCTATCATAAGCTTCAGCTACATTTAATAAATACAGTGCTGAGCATATTTTACATTGTTTCTTTTAATTGTGGTGAAGAGAGTTTTTTCTGTTTGGTATAATACTCCCTATTCTTCGTTACTCCCTGACTCTTATTTGTTCCCCAGGTATGAGCTGAAATGTCACCTCTGGTAAATCTTTCATGATATAGGCAGTATTGGGCTAATATCCACCAATACTTACCCCATCTTAGCACTTCAGTACAACTGAGATACTATTTTATCTTCACTGTTCTATCACTGATAATTAGCCAGAATTTAAGGCATATGCAGATGTTTAAATATTAAGTAAAAACTTTATTTTTTTAATTAATAATGTAAATGAAATTTTTGTTGATCATACTTACATTTTTAATGTAAATTAGTGGTTTTTTATAGGACAACTATGCCGTTTTTGGGTCAGGACTGGAGATCTCCTGGATGGAGTTGGATTAAAACAGAAGATGGCTGGAAAAGATGTGAATCATGGAGTCAGGAACTTAAGAAAGAGAATAACCAACGTGACATCAATCACAGCATGTAAGTTTTAGCTAAGCAGAGCTGTGTCATCTGCCTGCTTAACATTTTGTTTTTATCTATTTTTCAAATCACTGAAGAGCTACATAACATTTGATTTGGCTGAGAATTGCCCTCACACAAGCCTGGTGTGAGGAAACAAGTTATTTAGCTAAAGTCTGAGCATAGTTGATTGCCTAGAACCCATAAGTGCTGCTTTCTTCTTTTTATTTAAAACATTTAGTAATCTGAGAGATAGGTGTTACTATTATTAACCCCACACTGTAGCTGAAAAACATGACAAAAGATAGGGATTTGGTAGCATATGTCAGAGACCCATAGTAATAATGTCTAATGAAGGACAGAAATATATTTTTCTTTCTTAAAAGCCTCAGTTGTCATAGTGACTTTGCTCAGGGATGGAACGACCTTGGCATTCCCAGAGTGCCAAGCATCATTTGAATGGCTCAAGGTCGAGTATTGCTCGCCACATCTGCTCTCTGGTCGGTAGGGTAGAAGAGGTCACGTCCACTCATACCTCACTGGCTAGAGCACTAGTTGCAAGGGAGGCTGGGGTTGTAGTCTTTCTCCTGTATAGCCATGCATCCATATGAAAGTCAGAGATTGCATGAACACAAAAAACAGGGTATAATGGCCATGGTGTGATAACTAGCAAACTATCACAAAAGGTATTTCAGTATTAGGAGGAGTCGGAATGTCTCAAGTCCTCTTCCTCTAGAGTGTCACGGGTCTACTCATTGATCTTACCGTATAGTGTTTTTCTTTGACATTTGCATAATTACCAACTGTATTTTGACCTGGCAGGCCATCTCTTTCTGACAGAAATTCAGTCCCATTAGACTAGGCACTGGTTTTACAATTTAGTATTAGAAGCAGATATAATTTTATATTTTGGATTATAGGAAAAATGACATGTGATATTTGTTGAACGTGTGACATCTGCTATTCTGAATTTTATTTAATATTGATGGTTGTAAAGCTTACTAAAGTTGGTAATTACATGTTATTAATATTAAGTTATTAGTGTTACACAGTTGTGAATTCTCAAGGTTACTTTTTGTCTTTCATTTTTATAGCAGATAATTTAAAGTTAGCTGAATATATCTAGAAATGTGATATGACTACATTGACTGTCATTATCTAAAATTGGATGTGGAGATTCCTAAAGTCACCAATTTAGGATGGGGAAATAGGTTATAAAATGTCAGTTCCCAAAAAGTTGTTATGCATGAAATATAATACTGCTGCTTCTGCACTAAGAATTTGCACGAATTTCTGTTTTTTTTGTTCATGTGTCATTTTCTCTCCTCATCCCACACTTGAAATATCTAGAAATTAATTTTTTTTACTTACAAAAAGAATTAGAGAACACAGTCAAGACGTGTTTCCTTTGCATGGTAAACTCCATGTGCCTCTACCTCCTTTACCCCCTTAATCCACAAGCACTCCCCTCACCCACTCCCATTCAAACTTACTTAAAAAAGCCTTTGAAATAGTAACCATTCCTAACAGAACTTCCTCTGCATACAGTGAATAGTCACAATGTCTTTACTAAGACAACAGGCTGCGTTATGACAACCATGGGCCCTCTGCCGCTGGGCAGAGCGAAGCGACAGCTAGCACTCTTCCTTTACTCCATCCAGCTGCCATGCAAATCTAGGTATACTCTCTGTCCCACTCTACCTTTCTTGGTGTGTCCTTCTCCTCTTTTTGGCCATTCCTACAAAAATGCATATCCAAACCTGTGGGGAGAGGCCATGGATAACCTGTAATTACAGCAAACATCTGTTATTATTTCCTTAGACTAAAAAGGCAATTTAACTTTGAAGCCAAAGTCTGATAAAGATGGTAAAACCATATGTAATCACCCTTTTAAATCACTGTATAAATGACCTTATCTTCTTCAGATGTCTCTGAGCAACAGAGCACTCTCCCAATTCTGATTTTTTGAGTGGGATTTCTAAAATTAGATAAATTATTGTAGTAAAAATCATATAATTGATCAAGGTTCTGACATTGTTATGTTTCCTTTTTTGTAAATGGGCATGAAAATAGAAGACCTTTAAATACTCCACCCTTAATTTTTCCCTCTTTTCAGGATTTAAAGTTCAGACGGAATAGGTAAAAAATGATGCAGTTCAACTTGGTGAGTTTAGGGGCAGCCAACCAGTTCATACTTTGAATCCTGATTAAGCTGTTCTTTCAAAAAGGATTAATGATTTTATGGAAGTTAATGGTGATGGAGCAAATATAAACCCCTATTTTGAATGCTTAGTTCTTCACTTAAAAGATGTTTAGATCTTACAAAATATTTACTACATAACACAGTTTGATATACAGAGAATTCATCTTGTGCCCCTTTTAAAGAAGTTTACTTAATAAGCTGTAGATGCAAATAGAAGACAGAATGGCTGGGTTACAGATGAGAGATTAGTGAGTTCAGGGTCTAGTAGACCAGTAGGACACTGCAGGAAGACGAGTATTTGTCCACTGCACTGTCTGTGCAGGTGGGTGGGGGCACAGGAGGCAGAATCAGCAAGAGGGTAGGCAACAGGCTGCACAGGGAAAACCGGACACCTGGAGCGACTGTCAGGTTCTGGGTTATTCAGTCAGTGTTTAAAAAGAAAATGCTGTAGTGTAGTGATAGCTCTGGTTAGGTCTGAGATTTTGGAAGATAAACAGAAATGCATTGGATCAGAAACAGAGCAAATCATCGGTATCAGTGTCATGTCACATGAACTTTGTTCCAGAGTGTTCATAGTTTTGTTTATAATCTCTGTGTTTATAAAGCATTTTGAAGGCTGAAACTACCTTAGTTGAGTATATCAAAATCCTTGGGAGATTCTAGAACATGTTCACTACTTAGTATAAAATGCTCAGAAGATCCAGGGTAAATCTCAGATTTTTCAGAAAACAAAACAAAACAATATATCTTAGGCATTAGCCTCGTTATTTCAGAATTTATCATAATTTTTATTTTGGTCTCCTGAAGTGCAAAACAAATACTTACTCCAATTTTACAAAAGAAAAAACAAAGATTTCCCTGTGAAAGTACTTTAATAAAATGTATCTTTATTTCAGCATCTTAAGTAATGAAGAAGAAATATTCAATAGTGAAGAGCATAAATATGCATCAAAAAAAAGGAAAGATGACCATTTTAGGAATGACACAAGTACTCAATGTAAGATCATTTTCATTAATAACTTTATGGTATTCTACTTGTTGAGTATGTCGAAACACCAAGGCCGAGCTCTGCATTATGCACAACCACATAGCACTGTGCAGTGTCTTTGTGTGCTCACTCTGCTGACAAAGATAGGGCCAGTGGGGCTATAATCATAAGCCTGAAAGTTTGGGATTCGAGTTACCTGAAAAATTTGTTTAAGTGAAATACCGTATCATGGTAGTGAAAGAAGACTAGCACTTCTTGTGACGTAAGAACTTAGGAAAAATTGCATTTGAAACCATTTATGTTTGGTATTTCTGCAGGGTTAATAACACTGATTTCTTCTAAGTTACTAAGACTTGGTAATGTCATGAATCATTTTTCAATTAAGATGTTTCAGTACCTCTTAAACTGATGTTTGAAAACAAAGCAATCTGTTCCCATTTAACCAAGGAAGAGCATCTGTCATGTATATGATAAGTCAGATAATTCTGATAGCATGTGCAACTGCTGAAGTTCATCAACATCTTCATTTTGAAATGATTTACAAGATTTTGAAAACAAAGTTAATTTCTTTCTAGGTTTTTATCGTGAGAAATGGATCTATGTCCACAAAGAAAGCACAAGAGAAGTAAGTACTATATTATAATTCAGGGTATATTTTGTAAAATTTGTTGACTGATTGTCACAAATTATTTCTTCTACAATATGAAGTGTGTTTCACATTCTAACAGATGAAAGCATATGAGGGTGTCAGAAATGGCAGCTCTCATGTGCGCACGCACACCGAGGGTATGGCTGTACCTCCCACCCCACCCCTGGTGCACATCTGAATCGGCAGAATGGCTATTTCAGAGCAAGCATGGAACCCCTTATAGTCTGATATATTCTCTACATTTCTTCCCAAAACCTGTCTACAGTAAGCCTCTGGTGCAACTAGGGACATCATAGCTCCGCTGTGTTCTGGGACAGGAGCACATTAGGGAGCCCCTCGTTTACTTTGTGGGGCAGCTAACGTGACATCAGTCATTAAATTTGAAACTGCAAAGACGAGTTTGAACCCTTTCCCTCCTGCCTTTTGCCAAGTCGGCTGAGCTCTGCTAGGAGCCATGAAACAGTCGGCTCCGATGCTACAAGTGTTCTTTTCCTCGGTTTAGCAGTCTGATGGACTTGAATCTGCCTTGTGCAGCCACTGCGGAAGGTAATTGAGGGAGCAATTGTTTGGCATATATTTCAGTTAGATGTTAAATTTAAGTTAGAAGTGTTAATAATGCATATTCTGAAACTAGCACAGCTTCCTAGAAGCTTAAGGATTAGATTCTGACACAGAAGATTTATTTGACCTATTTGTTGATATTAATATTAAATGGCAAGAAGCTGATGCTTGGCCTACACTCTGACATGCCATTAGAAGAACATTTGGCAGAATCTAACCTAGATTGAGCTTACAAAACACTACTAAATATTTCATTTGCTCTGTTACCATACTGATCTCAGAACAGAGATCCAGTTGAGGCTAGCATGAGAAATAAAAGGGGTATTTGTTGTGAGTCTCTAAGGGCTGTTACATAGACCCTTGGAGCAGAGATATAGCCAGGCTCAGGAAGGGAGCAGGACTCGGGACTGAGAGCTGGCACATCTCTATCCGGCCCTTCTCTGCATCTCTGGTCTCTCCTGGTGCAGACCAGGACTCTCTGCTGCTTGTCTACGTGGCTGCCCCTGGCTACCCCACAGGCTCTGAGGTTCCACATGTTGTTCTAGGCCTCAACAAAGGTGGGTGCAGTCACATGGTTCAAACATGCTCTTTGCAGTCTACTCTGAAAGTCAGATTTAAGTCCCCAAAAAAGAAAAGGCCATTATGATATGGGTGGTTACCTGGAAAGGTGTCTGCTGAGAGAACATTTACAATTCTCTTCATTAGGAAGAGAAGGAATTTAAGTAGTTTTATTTCAGATTGCAATGGAAATCTAACCTTTGCTTCATCCACAGCTCACAGGAAACATTTTGCACATAGTAGCTATTCAGTGAAACTGTGTATTGGATGTTTTAGATAAATGTATTTTGTTACTTTGAGCCTTAGGACTGCTCTTTAGATTTGGCAGAAAACCAAACTATCCTTTACAGTGCATCCTCTGAAACTGAGGTGTTTATTCCACCAGCCCTCTCCAGACCCTCTCCTGCCATGTCTGAAATGTGAAGAATTATCTGTCACCTTATGTTTTCAGTGATATTCCCCAGAACTCCAAAAGGAAAATCTCTTTCTACATTCTAATATTTCAAATAGAGATGATGGAGTTTCAAGTGACTACTGACACCTAATGTATAAATCTGTACAAAGTAATACAGATAGATAGGGTATATCATTAAGGACAAAAAATGGAATAGTAGTGTTATCAGGACTGGAAAACAATTACCCATGTTTTATTTGTTTTCTTTGAGTCTTAGACCTGTGGGTCTGATCAACAGCTGCTTGAGGTTTTGGGTACCAGGCATCCTCTGCCCACAGCCTAAAACCGGCAGTCTCTTCCCACCACCTCTAGCCCTCTCCCCGTAAACATTGTTTTTCAGAGTCCTTCCTGACCCCCAGGTTCCTCTTGGTCTTGATTCTGTGTGGCTGGGCATGGATCCAGACCTGTATGGGACATGGGACAGTGCGGAGGAATCCAGTGTTTCAACATCTTTATCTATAGCAGATAAATCTTTGTAACAGGCCAGCAGATGATTCTGTGTGGCTGCCTAGCCTAGACTACATCATTATTTTATGATTTTTGGCCTAATTTTGTCCTCTGCCTAGTGTATCCCAACAAAAGAAATTAACAAGATGCTTAGTAAATGATTGTCATGTCAACAGTGGTATAAAAATGTCAGTGCAGCGTCTTATGATACATCAGTGACTTAAATTTAGCATCGCTGTAATTTTACTCTGCTCTCATCTAAACATGGAATAAACATAATAAAAACAATGTCATTTGCCAGAATTAAAAAAGGTTTTTGCACAGACTAACTCATATTAAATGTCAGTTCATTTTGACTAGTGGACTAATTCGATGGATTGTAACTGTTTTGGGTCTGTTTTTTCCAGAGGCATGGCTACTGTACTTTGGGAGAGGCCTTTAATCGCTTGGACTTCTCAAGCGCAGTTCAGGATATCCGCAGGTTCAACTATGTGGTCAGAGTAAGTATTGTAGTTCAGAAGCTACTTTGATGACACTTGGATTGACTGGGTTTTTAAGCATTAAATATTTAACATGCTTCTGCCAGTGGCAAAAAGTTGAGCTTGCTTTTTCTGTAGGAAATAAGACAAGGGTACATTCAGGAGGAAACAGTAATCATGAAGGGTTTCCCACATACAGGCATCTCTCAGCTGAAGGGTCTCTGCAGGCTCATGTAGGAACTGGCCGCAGCACCCCACGCATTCTGTGAGCACGGCATCTGCCAGGGGCTTGGCATCTGCCAGAGACAGAAGAGCAAATATTTGGTCATGACATTTTTTTACCTGGGCATTTCACATGTGTTTTCTACTTTATGATTTTTACAAGGCCTTGTTTCACAGGGAAAAAAGGAAATTTATATAAAATGAAACTCCACAGGAGCTGTACAGTGTTAATATATTTTTAGAAACAATTTTGATCTTGGCTTATATTAAAAAGTAAAGGGTCTTAGCCATATATACCATTTATTGTTGCTTTTATTAGGCTAAAGATTAATTACTCTGGTTTATTTGCTTGCCTTCTGCTATAGGAAAAGTGTAAATGATGTGGCATTGGAGACTTCAAAAAGAATTTCCTTGTAAAAAGTAATGTGCTACTGGATGGACAGAAAAACTAGGGGTTAAATAAGCAGGCATTAAGTAACTTCACCTGCTTGGTTCAGCCACAGTCAGTTTATGGGGCACCATAGTCACCAACACCTCCCAGGAGTCTTGCTGTACTAGGGCTGTATTAAGGTCAGTTCTGGCCATTTCTGGCATTTGTTTTCTGGTTGAATGGATGTGCATCCACGGGTGTCGCCATCAAGTATCTCTCCACTAGACCACAGAATTGAGATGTGCCTCAGCCTTGTCAAAATGGTCAGAAAAGAAGACCAGGCAAAAGTATGTCAGCAAAGAGGTCTGTTTGACAGTCAGTACTTTCCCACACTTTTTTTTGAGTTCAGATCATACTTATTTGTTTTATACTAGCAATTCCTTGCTGCCCTCTCCACCCCACATGCACGGATTTCACTCATGGGTGGGTAGAAGTTGACAGGGGCCTGCGGGGAGAAGCTGCTCTGGGTTTTGGTGTTGGACCTGTGCACCTTGCTGCTCCTGACTCTTATCTGTGGCCTCTGCGCTCTGTGCTGGTTGAGGGAGAATCTGTAGACCAGCCGGTGGTATTTGTTTTGTCTGCAAGCCACAGTATTACTTGCTGAACAGCCTTTGTTCAGATGCCTTGTTTTTTTTTTGAAAATGGAAATCCTTCATTAACCTCCTGAAGAACAATACCTGTTGTTCTGGGAGGAGGGGGTCCCCTGCCTGGGCCAAGTTACCTTCAATTTTGACCGAACCGAAGAACTCCAAGGGTAAGAAGTTAGGGGTCTGAAGGGGGCTTATTCTCATGGCAGTAGGTATCCGTCTCTCCAACTTCCCTCTGCCAGCCTCTTGTGCTTTCCTCGTTCTCCCACCAGGCTTCCCTTCTCTGCTTTACAAGCTCTCTGTTCTCACGCTCATGTGGCTCACTCCCTTCTCTCTCTGGAGGTGCTCCAATTCCTTCTTCAGCACAGGGAGGAACTCTGTGGGTGGGTCTCTGGTGACTGGCAGACACATGATCAAACATACCAGGAACTGAGGGCCAGAGAGAATGGGTGCTTCCTCTCCACCCCTCTTCTGGGCCAGTACTCACGTGACTGAGCAGCTGCTCTGTCTCTGGTAAACATCCCATAGATGTGCAAGTAGGCTCTTTATATGTACAGTGGGTGCTCTTAAGTACAGGTAGGAATCGTGGCCAGAAATTCCCATTTTATCCACAGCTGTGAAATTACAACTTTTCTATGTTCATTGTTTTCTGATACATAAAGAGTACTAATCATAACATTAGTGTTCTGTGTGTTCACATACCAGCTGAAAAGACCTGGCAGCCCTGTGGAAGCACCTCCCACGGAGGATGTGTGAGGAAGCCTTGCTCAAAGCACCCAGCTTGTGCTCAGGGCTTCCACTGCGAGACCTTTGTACCAGGCCTGCTTTCCTGAGGTCCCCTACATGGTTGCTCTCAGTCCTTCCCTGGCAGAGAGCCTCTCCTCCTCACCTCCTGACCCGCCGCCTCCTTCCAATCCCTGTTCACAGCAGCACAGTGGCCTTCGCAGGCTGATGGGTCACCCGCACCTTCTGGCTGAGATGCACTCAGCTCCTGTCCCTCCTGCCCCCTCCTGCCCTCACAGGCTGCTCCGGCATTTGCTGCCTTTGAGCTGGCTTCCATTTTGTAACACCTGGTGTGCTTGGGACACACCTCCCATCCACTCACAGCCACTCGCTCTGGACATGCCAGAGTCCTGTGCAGGGCCAGCGTGCACACCTGCTGCTGCTCCTCGGCCCTGAGCCACCCTTCTCAGGAGGTCATGAGCCACAGTGGCTGGGCTGGTGTCCCAGCGGCAGGATCTGCTAGCAGAGGCAGCTTCAGACATTAAGTATTTGGATGGAACTATGGTTGGCTTTGCCATACTTACAGCAACACTTTCTGTGTCAACGGAGAGGGTTCTTTTGGAGTTCTCAGTAACATGATTTCCATAATTAATGCTGAGCTGTCTATAAAGTCACTCATTAATATTATTAGAAATAGCAGTTAACAAGAAATGTAGAAGCATTATTTTTGAAATGCCTGATAGGGTTTTCTTATGTCTCTAATGACTTTCAGTAGTGATTTTTTTTTTTATTTTGGTATCATTAATGTATAATCACATGAGCAACATTGTGGTTACTAGATTTCCCCCATTATCAAGTCCCCACCACATACCCCATTACAGTCACTGTCCATCAGTGTCAGTAATTTCTCAAAGAATTTATATGACAGAAATTAATAGTATGCATTTTTCAATTAACATTTATATAAAATCATTTTCTGCACCTAAAATTAGCAATTTTAAACAGGCTAATCAAAAATTACTACATGGTTTGTGAATAAAAATTAGTGCTAGACTTCAGTGTTTAAGTATAAATTGTTTTGGTTTTCAAAATAAAAATAAGCAGTTTGGAAGTTCAGTCTTTATTCCCAGGTACCTTGGCAGGAATAATCCAAATTACAATGCTGGTTCCACAGTCCTGTGTCTAAAATTATAAGACACTTCTAGTAGTATCTGTTAAAAAATATTTCAAACATTTTCATAATTTTTCAAAACTTCAGTCTGATTTTGAGGAATAAAATGTTGTTTTTCCAAGCTGTGTTTACTCAGCTTTTTAAAGGACAGTAGAAAACTAATTTTGAGTGCCCCAGTCTTCAGAACATCTCTAACTAGAATCACTATACACAGCTGTCTGCTGATGCTGGAGAAATTTCAGAGAAGCCTGTAGACTGGGGTTAATGAGCTGTACTACTTGGAGCTGCACTTGGATTAATAAATAATCTGTTTTACTCTTCCTGTGCAGCTGTGCAGCTGACAAGTTCTTGAATCCTTTCGCATGGGCACTTTGTCCTGGTCCTGCCAGAGGGTGTGCGCAGCATTGGTGCAAATACCACCTGTTCTGGTGAACAGACTAACACACAGCACACCGCCTGCACTGCTGACCCTCCCACCTGTAAAGACTTGGTTTTCTTCAAAGTGGTATGCAGCAGACCTGGCCAGAGCTCTGACTTCCCTTTATAAATATAATGCTGTATGTTTACTTTCAGAATGCTGGGCTGTTCATGACACTGCCATTATGGCAGTTACTAAACTGTTACTAAACTGTTACTAAACCCATCTCTAATTTAGAGATGTCTTGTTGTTTTAATACTTGGTGAAAATTGTACTGGCCAGTTATGGAAGAACTTTAGCATAATTTATTTAGCTATTAACTTTACTTACGTCCTGAAAATCAGTCACAACTGAAATCTTTTCACTCAGTATTATCTTTTCTCTGATTAACTGGTTATTTGTTATTATTATTTCATTATATGCCCTGAGAAAGTTCCTTATTGAAAAAAAAAGTCAAGATGGAGTTTACATTTGACCCTAGTGAGTGAATAGTTCTAATATCTGGTTGGTCCACAAGGCAGCTCATCCCTCACTCACCCCATTTAAATGTAATGTGCAAGCAAATGAATGCATCTTTGGCCAGTTTTATGGCCTACCATTCATTAAGATAAAGGCTTAGGTTTGTGGAATTTTGAAATTTTTAACTAACAAAACTAACCAAACACTTGGAATTATTAGGACATAATAGTTATTTTACCAAACAGGAGATTCACAGCACCCAGATTGGGCATTTTAAAAAGGCTTTGGGGGGAGGAGCCAAGATGGCGGGGTGAGTACTTCAGAGGAAATCTCCTCCCAAAACCATATATATTTTTGAAAATACAACAAATACAACTATTCCTAAAAGAGAGACCAGTAGATACAGTACAACAGCCAGGCTACATCTACATCTGAGAGAACTCAGCATCTCACAAAGGGCATAAGATACAAGCCACAGCCCAGCAAGAACCCAGTGCCCCACGCACCCCCGTTCCTTGGCAGGAGGAAAGGAGTCAGAACAGGGAGGGAGTGAAAGTCCAGGACTGCGAAACAACCAGGTCTAGTAATCCGCACCGGGGGCACAGACACACACTGCATGGTGTGCTGGATATTAGAGAAACGGAAAAGCAAAACCTGTGAGCGGACCCCCGCAACCGGCTCCCCTGGGACAAAAGAAAAGCGAGTGCGTTTTGAAAGTCTTAAAGGGACAGGGACCTCACAGCTGGACGAAATTGCCCTGGCACACTCAGCCTAGCAGCTGGGAATCCTGGGGAACTCTAGGTGACCTAAGCCTCTGGGTGGCAGCGCAGCTCTGAAGCCCCGCACAGCGATAAGCAACCTGCCAGTCATTCCTCTGGCTGGTGCGGACCCCGACACACTGGCCCAGTAGCAGGAGAGTGGCCGCGTGAACAGGTGGCAGCAGCGGCCAAGCGGTCCAGGAGCAGGACGCGCAAGCCTGTGGCAATGGTGGCCGAGCAGCCCAGGAGCAGC